TGGGGAATTTTTTGAACATGGGGGGCTAAAAGGGGCCCCATTTGGGGCCCCAATATTCCTGGGAAAAAGCCCCCTATCTGGGCCGGTGCCAGATTTCTAAGGGGCCCCGCCTCCTTTTGTGGGATCCTGGCCCCCTCCACCCTTTTGGCTAAAAGGGGTTTTGATTTTGCCCCCTATGTCAAAAATTGTGCCCGGCCCCCCAACCTCGGGCCCTATTTTTCTTTCTGCCCGGTCCAATTCCACCCTGTCGGTTCCCCCGTGAGGGCCCCCCTTTTGCCATGTGAAATTCACCTTCCACGCGGTTTTTTTTCCCCCATCGGCGTTCCCCAAGCCCCCCCCCAACGCCACACCCTTTCCCCTCCCACTTTGCCGGCGTTCCCCTTTTCCCACCCCCCCAAATTCCTCTGCCCCTCCCCCAATCGCCAGGGCCACCTTTCGGGTTTCCCTTAAACACTGTGGTGGGGTTAAATTTTTTGACATAGGGTGCGGGGGATTACGGGAGGATGTCAGCCATTGTCAGCTCATGCGTGACACCTGCGCTTGCTAGGCCCTTTGAGGAGGCCCACGCTATTTCGTGAGTCGGCAGGACTATGGGATATGAACGAGGTCAAATCGGCCATGGGCCCCCGTACCGCCTGTTCACGCTGATGCTGGTCCCACAGTGTGATCTGGGTCCCTGTACGGCCTCCCATTGCTTCCACTCTGCCATGTGCCACTTTGAGGTCTCCTTACACTCCTGCGGTTTTCCATTTTGTCCATAGGTTGCTGGCAGATTAGTGGCCTTCCATAGGTGCCGCCAGGCCCCATATCGGCCATGGGCCCCGTTACCGCCTGGTCACGCTGCTGCTGGGCCCACAGTGTGACCTGGGTCCCTGTACGCCTCCCATTGCTCCCACTCTGCCATGTGCCACTTTTCAGGTCTCCTCACACTCCTGCTGGGTTCCATTTTGTCATAGGTTGCTGTATGGCCTCCCATTGCTGCTGCCTCCACCGCCACACTGTGGCTCCAAACACTGGTTTTGGCCCCGTGACTGGCCAAATGAGTGAAGTGTGCGGTGATTCTTCATACTGAGTGACAGTATTATTTCTCTTCCCCAGCAGACTCCAAGGGCATTGAAATTAAAGGTACAGTGTTCTGCACTAATATTAAGTCTCTCTGAAGCCTAGAAACACCCTTTTTTAAGTTAAATTCACAGCGAATTTATTCGACTCGAATCGAATATTGTCCACGAATTCGCCGAATCAGTCGAATCGAATTTTTCATTTCTTCGCTCATCTCTAGCCATAACCTTAATCAAAGTCTTCCTCCACTGCTTCATAATTTATGGGAGGCATCTTACAATGCACAGGATCCTTAAGATTGCCTTCCACAGACACCTAGTTACCATTTTTGCTGACTTTCAAGTCCTCCATTGACATGTGTTTCTGAAATGCCTGATGATTGCCAATCCTTTACTGTCTAAAGCTAGTCAACATCTCCCACCGAGTTATCCAATGGCTGAGGTCATCCTTCTCCTCTACCCATCCTCTTCTACTTCAGATGTTTTCAATATTTCTATAGTTATTATAACCACTTCAGAATCCATGACATACCAGTACATTGCGAGGTTGAAGTGGTTATACCGGGACAAGGGCGGCCCAGTATAACCAGTAGGTCAGTAGGGGGCCCCATGAGATGCCCCTTGTACCTTTTGCATAGGCTTTTTTGAGTTTGGGCAAGGACACAGGGGCCCCATGAGTTGTCAGTCCACCCCTGTACCGGGATGATTCCAACAGCTGCAGGCATCATTCAGTATCTTTTCTTCAGTCAGAGATGCACTGTTTCATAAATGTGATCCTAGCAGCTAATTAATTCCGTGTCCTTCTCCCATCCCACCAGGGAGCCCAGGACTGGATCTGGGGGTTCCTCCAGCTGACCATAGATATAATCAAGGACCAGAACATCTTTGATCATCCCTATGGTCTCAGAAACCGGAAGCAAAGAGTATTTTGTCACTTACGGTTTTGTCAGAATGTAAACAAGCCATTCCTGGCATGAAAAACATCAGATCAAACTGATCTTGATTTGATCTGGTGCTTTGAAGGCCAGAGGAGAGATAAAGGGTCTAATAAATCCTAGATCTTTCCAAAAAGAGGACCTATTATGGCCCATGCTATAACAAAGAATGCTGCTCATCCCTTGTGATAGCAATAAAAGTGATAAAAAAATAAAGTTAAAGAGTAAAAAAATGCAAATAAAATAAATAATACAATAAAAAAAATTAAAGCACCCCTGTCCCACCGTGCTTGTGCACAACGGCAAATGCACACTTTGGAACCGCACGTGTTGATCTCACCACACATATGAGGTATCGCTGCAAATGTTAGAGTGAGAGCAACAATTCTAATGCCAGACCTCCTGCATAACTCTAAACTGGTAACCTGTAAATGCTTCTTAAGCACCAGCTATGGAAATTTTTAAGTACCGTCGTTTGTCGCCATTTCACACAAGTGCGCACATTTGTTAGGTATTTATTTATTCAGCGTAGCATAATCTTTTATATTTTACCAAACAATTGGGTATTATATTGTGAATTAAACTTCATTAACCACTTCCCGACCGGCCGTTGCATATAAACGGCCGGACGGTGGCACTGCAGGGTCGGGTGGCCGTCTATAAACGGCCTCCCCGCACCCTGCTTGTGCGCGCTCCCTGGGAGCGCGCAGCACCGCGATCCGGAGCCCGCTGTGTCCTCCGGACATAGTGAAACACCGATCGTCGGACGGGACCTCTGTACGAGGTCCCAATCATGTAATCACTGATTGGCCAATCAGTGATCACATGCAAAGTAGTAAGCAAGATGTCACTTGTGACATCATTGCTTACTACGTGTGAAATCTCTGAATGATCACAGAGGTCACATGGTACAAGCCTATTCACAACAGGCTTGTACCATGTGACAAGCTGTGACCAATCACAGCTCAGTCAGTACTTCTCAATGGCTGCAAGAATGCACACAGAGAGAAAGAGAAATTATTGCTTTTACATCCTATATGGGTGTAAAAGTAATGTGTAAAAAAAAAAAAAAAAAAAATCTTCATCACCCCCCACAAGTAGTACAGTGTCACCATGGTGACACTGTACTGCTAGGGTGACAGCATGTAAAAAAAAATAAAAAAAATAAAAAATAATAATATAAAAAAATAAAATAAAAATGGAAAAAAAAATGTTTAAAAAAATTATAATTTTTGTTATAAACTAATTTGGATTTTTTTTTTTTACTAAAAAGATAACAGAATAAATTTTGGCAAAGATTTATGATGAAATATTATTTATTTGCAAAATTTTATAAAAAAAACACTTTTTTTCAAAATTTTTGGACCTTTTCATTTACATAGCAAAAAAAATAAAAATCCCAGCGATGAATAAATACCACCAAAATAAAGCTTTATCTGTTTCAAAAAAATAGTAAAAAATTCATTTGGGTACAGCGTTGCATGACCGCGTAATTGTCATTCAAAGCATGATAGCCCTGAAAACTGAAAATTGCCCTGGACAGGAAGGGGGTAAAAGTGTCCGGTCTGGAAGTGGTTAAAGTTTATATGCTTTTGAAAAACCACTGCTCAAATACCATGTGACATAAACATTGCAACACCCAATATGTTATTCACTGGGGCTTCTGCGCAACAAAATATATAATGTTTGGTGGTTCTAAGTTATTTTCTAGCAAAAAAAAAATGCTGATTTTTTCATGTAGGAGAGAAGTATCAGAATATGCTTGGGGCAGAAGTGGTTAATGTTTAATTATGTTGATCATGGATAATATGTGAGTTCAAAAGTTATTGTAGGCCTAACAGTTCACATTCGCTGTTATGATAATTGGTTGATATAATTCAGGGGTGAACTGACCATTTGGAAACTCGGGCGCTGCCCGAGGGCCCGGGGTCAGTAGGGGGCCCCATGAGATGCCCCTGGTACCTTTTTCATAGGCTTTTTAGAGTTTGGGCAAGGACACAGGGGCCCCATGATCCCCTATTGCCCGGGGGCCCCATGAGTTGTCAGTCCGCCCCTGATATAATTGCATAACTTATTTTCACAACAAGTGAAATTAATTTTAGTAAAATATTATGAAAATCAATTATAATGTATTGGACAGACGAATGGCAAGATCTTAAAGTGTTAACATGAAATATTCAACTCACATCAGGCAGTGAAAAAAAACTAGAATTTGCATAGCTGCATATTTCAGGCTCACCCAATAAAGGAACAGAGAACAGAAACAGGCACTCCTTGCCGTAGTCACTCAACAGACTGGAGATCGCTCTGACAGACTATCAACACCATGAAGAGGTCTCTGGGGATTTCTATTCTTCCTATCAGCTTGAATGCAGCAGGAATCATCCTAAACATCCTAATATTGACTATTTATCTCAGAGATTGGTACAAAGGAAAACGTCCTACAGCCTGCGATCTGATCCTGTCTGCTATGACATTCACTAATATGATTTTTCAGTTTATAATGATTTCTAATGGTCTCATGTTTTATGTAGTCTTAAACATGATGATCCCGAAAGGATTATTTTTATATGATTTTGTCATGTGTTTTTTTCTCATGGACACAAGTTTCTGGCAAACCGCTCTCCTCTCAACTTATTACTGTGCAAAACTGCTCAACTTTTCCCACCATTTATTCCAATGGGTGAAAAAAATTATATCAACTTCTGCAAACCTGCTTTTGTTGGTGTCGGCAGGTTTCTGCTTTGTAATAAGCCTTCCTTTTATTTGGACCATTCATTTTGACAGTCAAGTAAATGTGACGCAGCCTTTAGGAGGCATGGATTATATTGTTGGTTTTAATGACCTCTTTAATATCTTGAACATAATGTTGGGTTGCTGTTTGCCCTTTACTTTGACTTTCACCTGCATCACGCTCAGCGTAGGATCACTTGTGAAACACGTCTGGAGTATCAGGAGGAATGCTCTCCAGGTCAGCTCCCCTCCGCAGATCGGTGGTCTAGTGCGGGCAGCCAGTACCATGGTGCTCTGTGCATTGCTGGATTTGGTTTGTGTGTGGAAATTGTTGATCATGTTTTAGCAAACTTTAACACTGGACACCTTGCGGACACAATTAGGTGGGTGCTTATAGCATTACATCCTACAGTTCGTTCCATTGTTCTAATATTTGGAAACCCCCAGCTGAAACAACAGCTGGGCGACATGTGTGTGTGTTTCCCCTTGTGCCGGTGAAAGTCTATTGGTAAAATAAGTAAAAATACATTTACAGCACACACTGGCAACATTCTGCTGGGAACCATGACTTTTACAGTGAAGTGCATTAGAAACCCCCTGTTTTTTAAGCCATCTGTCCGTGTTTTAAAGGCCAGGAAGGGCAGCATTGGGCATTAGTTTAACTGAAGATATGTCCCATTCACCACCCATCAATGCAGATATGTTTGTAAGAAGGTAAATGGCAGTATCAGCCTGGGCTCCCACCAGCCCGCGCCCTCAATGCATTTTGTTACTCCCTTTGGACTAAGCTCTGAGGGGCAGAGTAAAATGGGTTGGGGCGTGGCCTAGTGGGATCCTAGGCTGAGACTGCCATTTATCTTCATACAAGCAGGTCTGCATTGATGTGAGGCAAATGGGACATATCTTCTGGATGTCTGGAGCCGAGACAAGTTGATCCCCTGGCCGGCACTCATAGTGGTGGCTGAAGGATTACTATCCCTTGTAGTCTGAGTGGCACACAATTCCTTTTATCAGTTCGCATTGGGTGCTAGTTGTATGGTGATACTTGGTCTGTGAAATGTGAAGAGCTTTGTTCACTTCAAACTCATGCTGACCCAAACATTATATAATAAATAAAAAAACACTGAATTTAAAAATTCAGAATACTTTATTTTTCCAAATGGGAAATTAATACATTTATATAGAGATATATTTAGAGAGAGAGAAATTCAATCTTTATTGCTACAGCACAGATCAAATGTCAGCCCATAGATGATTCAATTTTTTTCCTTCCACCATGAGTAGAAGGAAAGAAAATTGCTCGACTCTCCCATCAACATAGTCAGTGTTGATGGGGGAATGCCTCCCACAGGTCTATTGTGTTCTGCTGCCATGGATCTTTCCCGAATTGGGCCAGATCTAGGCTATCCGATCTGGGGGT